TCTCCCTAAAAAGGTCAATGGGGAGAAAATATTGGCTCAGTGGTTGAATGCTGACCCATGAACCAGGAGATCATGGTTCGATTCGCAGTCAGGGCACATGCCCAGGTTTCAGGCTCGATCCCCAGTAGGGGGTGTGCAGGAAGCAGTGGATTGATGATTCTCTCTCATCACTGATGTTTCTATCTCCCTCTCCCTCCCTCTCGCTGAAATCAAAAAATATTTTAAAAAGAAATCCTCAGCCTGGCCAGCATGGCTCAGTGGTCGAGTGTCGTCCTGTGAACCAGGAGGTCACGATTCAATTCCCAGGCTGCGGGGTCGATCCCCAGTGTGGGCTGTGCAGGAGGCAGCAGATCCATGATTCTCTCTCATCATTGATGTTTCTATCTTTCTCCCTCTCCCTTCCTCTCTGAAATCAATAAAAATATATTTAAATTAAAGAAATAAAAAGATATCCTCGGGTGAGGATTAAAAAAAAATCTCCGGTAGAATTTTTGTCAAACCCCTTTCATAGCAATTTGATTTTCCTAACTGCCCAGTGGGTTAGATGGGACAGATAAGGAACAAGGATCAAAATGGCCAAGTAATTCACCCAGAGTCAGGACCCAGGACCAGACCCCGAGATCCAACTCTGAGTGCCAAGAATATTACATTCCTGAGAGCTTTGTGGGGTTCCAGACCTCCCTGACCTGGGATGGCGAACATGCAGCACAGAGCTACACCATGGTAGGGCCTGGACTAGGACTCTGGCCTCTGGCTCTGAGAGAGTGACTATGGTTTCTAATACCTGAGAATCTAAAGGTCGGGGTGGTATTAGCTTAGTAGAGGCACTTCCCCTACCGGTGACTCTGTCTGCTCCCCACGTCCCTGGGCTCAGGGTACCTGCTGGAAATACTTGTCCCCGTTGATGTATTCCTTGTCGTGGGAGTCCTGCAGCCTGTTGGTCTTCACATACTGCCACAGGGCCTGCACGATGGCTGAGCGGCTCTGCGTGTGCAAGCCCAGCAGCCGGGCCAGGCGGGGATCCAGTTTGAACTGGGGAGGCTGTGAAAAGGTGACCATGAAAATCAGGGAGTGGAAAGAGCTCAAAGCCAGGCAGCTTGGGACTGGAGTGGAAGTGGGGGGTGCGACATGGTGACTGGGCTCCTTGGAAATGTGCTTCTGGAGACAGAGTTACGATGGGTCTCTTGGGATGCCTACCTTGGGGGCCTTCGCCCACCTGTCTAAGAGAAAGGGTGTGGGGAGCCAAAGGATGTGGGGGACTGGCACGGACCTGGTAGTCCAGCATGAGGAGCAGCGTGCAGCGCACACTCAGGTCCCCCGGCCTCTTCACCTGGAACCCATCCGTCTCCTGGGTGGTGGGCGTCCGGTGCCACTGTCCAGGGGAGAAGAGCTGGGTCATGTCACAGGCCCACCTGGGCTGGTGAGGCTTGGGGCTCTAGAGTGGTCCCTGGTGCAAACCTGTGCAGCGGGTGGGACTGCGGGACTTGGGCCTGTGGAAGGGTGGCAATTCTAGGGCAGTGTGGGGTCTGGGTCTTACCTCAACTAGGTGGTTGTCAGGGCCATAAAGGTCTTTGTCTAGTTCAATGACCAAACTCTTAAAGAAGGATGAGAACTTTCGCTTCTGCTTGCTGGGCTGTGGGAGAAGAACAGGGACTGTGGGGGCAGAACAGGGACCATGGGGGCAGAACGAGTCGGGAGGGGGTGGGGCTGGTTGGGTAGGGCAGCATGGTTAGAAGCAGGCCTTTGCACCCCTGATGTCCCTCCAGCACCCACCCTGGGCAGGGCTGACTCCCTAACCCTCAGTGCAGACATCTAGTTCTGTCCTCAGTCCAGCCCCATACCCACCCCAGGACACCTGGAGAGACCTGGGCCAAGACGTACGTCATCCAGGAGTTTCCCCTCCACCCGCAGCTCCCAGGAGGCGATGCTGCCATCAGAATCCTCAGCATCGGGCTTCGCAGGGTTAAACGTATTGGAGATATAGAGACGCAGCTTCCGCTTTTGCTGTAGAAATAAAGAGTGTCCCACAGAGCAAGCACTGTGTGCCAACCCCGCAACCCCACGTCTCCATTCTGGGAACAGGACGTAGAGCGCCTTCCCACCCCTAAACCAAGGCACCTTCATCGGCCTCTTCAGGGCCTCCTGGATGTCCACCCGCTTCCGCATGATGGTTTGATCCAGTTTCCTCTCAAACGCCAGGAGGTCCATGTAAGCCTGGGATTCAGGGACCAGCTCCCGGATCTGGAAGAGGAGGAGCAAGGCAGGGAAAAGGGGCTCAGCCAATCTTGTAGGTGGAGTGTGTGCGTATCATTTGCTTCCAGGTACACAGAGATGGAGGGGAGCTGGATGGTTATGGGACTTTTTAAAAAAATACATATATATTTTTTAATTGATTTTTTTTTACAGAGAGGAAGGGAGAGAGATAGTTAGAAACATCAATGAGAGAGAAGCATCAATCAGCTGCCTCCTGCACACCTCCTACTGGGGATGTGCCCGCAACCAAGGTACATGCCCTTGACCGGAATCGAACCTGGGACCTTTCAGTCCGCAGGCTGACGAACTATCCACTGAGCCAAACGGGTTATGGCAAGTTCTGGGACTTTTGAGAGTGAGAATGGGACCTCTACCCAGGACTGTGTAACCAGCAGTAGCAGCCTCATGTACAGGGACAAAAACTGCTTCTCCCTCCAGGGCAGTGGTTCTCAACCTTCCTAATGCTGCGACCCTTTAATACAGTTCCTCATGTTGTGGTGACCCCCAACCATAAAATTATTTTCGTTGCTACTTCATAACTGTAATTTTGCCATTGCTATGAATCATCATGTAAATATCTGATATGCAGGATGTATTTTCATTGTTACCAATTGAATATAATTAAAGCATAGTGATTAATCACAAAAACAATATGTAATTATATATGTGCTTTCCGATGGTCTTAGGCGACCCCTGTGAAAGGGTCGTTCGACCCCCAAAGGGGTCACGACCCACAGGTTGAGAACCGCTGCTCTAGGGAGACCCATGCATTTCATGATTAGGAAAGGCCAGAGCCACCATGGACCCCAACAAACTCGGGCTTCACCTCCTCCTCTGGTCCTTTCCTTTGTCACACAGCCTCTGGGCTATCCTTGGGTGTCTGCAAACTGGCTAGGACCTTGGTGTCCCTGAGGCAGTTAGGGGGTGTGGTTGCTTGCCTCTGCCCTGGTACCTCACCCAGTCACTCCAACTGATGTCTAAACCAGCTATCCCCCCACCCCCCCGCATCCCCCCACAGCTCAGCATGTGTTTGGACCGCTGCAATTCAGTCCACTGCACACCAGGCCCAGGATGCTACCCCTTTGGGTTCTGTTCCTTCCCTCTATCCCACCCCCTCCCTCTGGCCTGGGGAGCCTCACTTCTTAATTAGCTTTTTCAACAAAAAGTAAAAGTGATTGTGACCGCTGAAGCTCTGCTCCTTAGGGGGAGGGGAGACAAATGAGGTGGGGCAGCAAGGGGTTGGGGTCTGCTGGGGGCTTCTGTGAAAGGCACTCACCCTTTGAGGGAGGATTTTGTCAGCCATCTTCCTCCTCTTGGCACTGTACATTTTTTAAAGAAAAAACCAGGTTACCATGGTAACAGATCTGGGAGTAAGGAGGCCACCTGCTAAATTATCCCCCCTCTCCGCCCGCCTGGCTGGGGTTCCCACAGCCCACTCCTCTGCCTGCTCAAGGGGCGACAACGGTGGTGTGTGGCCTCGTGATCTGTCCTCTCTAGGGGGGCAGAGGTGACTCCTCCTTTCTCTGGCCTGGGAGCCTCTTTCTGCCCCAGGCATGTGCCCTGACAGGGCCAGACAATCGTAGACTTAGGGGCTGAGGTGGGGAGCTGCAGAAGTGTTTGGGGAAAGCTGGGAAGGAGAGAGGACAGAGGAGAGGGAGGACAGCTCCTGAGGACTTTCCTATGCTGCCAAACTGGGGGGCACTGTCCAAGGAAGGCTAGCTGACCCCGGGACCCCAATCCCTGGAGCAGGAGGTGATGACATGAAGCTGGTGAGGACTGCACCTCTGCCACCTTGGGCTTGGAGGAGATGCTGAGAGGAGAGGGAGCTGGTGCCCTTGGACCACCTGCCAACAGGGTCCAGGGACACACTCCTAGGGACTCAGAGAGAGAGTGTGTGTGTGTGTGGGGGGGGGAGACACACATTCTCCCCTGGGACGTGACTTCGGGAGGAACTGGACTATTCTTGACCAACTAGCTGCTTCTGACTTCCAAATGCACCCCAGAGAATCCTTGGCAAGTGAATAGCCCAGCCTAAAGGATGGCTCTATACTGCCCCCATGTGGTGTTCTCAACTACTGCCCCTTCCTGTCCAGAAATCTATTCTAAGGGTAGAGGAGTAGCTTTCATTCAAGGTCTGACTTGTTTTCGTTTGTTTTGTTTTTGTGTTTTTGTTAATCCCCACCCGAGGATATTTTCCCATTGATTTTTAGAGAGAATGGAAGAGAGAGGGAAAGACAGAAAGAAACAATGATGTGAGAGAAACACATCAATTGGTTGCCTGGTGCTGGGGCCCGGGCTGGGGAGGAGTCTGCAACCAAGGGATGTGCCCTTGACTGGAATTGAACCTGGGACCCTTTGGTCCGCAGGCTAATGTTCTATCCACTGAGCAAAACTGACTAGGGCTGTTTTTGTGTTTTTTAAAAGACATTTTTATTGATTTCAGAGAGGAAGGAAGAGGGGAAGAGAGATAGAAACATCAGTTATGAGAAAGAATCATTGATCAGCTACCTCCTGCACGCCCCTCACTGGGGACTGAGTCCGCAACCCAGGCATGTGCCCTCACTGGGAATCGAACCTGTGACCTCAGGTAGACGCTCAGCCATTGAGCCACACCGGCCAGGCAGGTCTGATTTGTTTTGAACAAAGTATCTATGTGAGACTCTCCATTTGTACAAAATAAATTAGGGACTTGTTAACTGTATAACAGGATGATTTATTTTGAAGGAGAATTCACCGTAGGATTCCTATGAACAGGGAATTTTCCTCGATGGGTAAAAAATATTTTATAATGAGGTATAATCCATATTACACATTTTACAGGACTCCATGTGGTGAGCAGAGGGAAGCATGTGTATTTGGCTAAATAGTGAAACCCAAAGGGGCATTTCTCTTGTCATGCACCAGCAGGGGCTTTGGGGGTGCCACCAGCTGGCCCCAACAAGGACATGGGCTGGCCCTGGGGGCTTGGGGGCGGACCTGGTCCAGAGGCCAGATTATGACAGCTCTTCAATCTTTGAGTGCCTGCGAGCAGGACTGGGCAGAAGACACCCTCTCACCCCAACAGGGCAAATTCCCAAGCTACACACACACACACACACACACACACACACACACACACACACACACGCCAGGGATTCGGATTCCCAAGATCTGGAATGGGGCTTTAAACAGTCAAGCCAGGGAATTCTGGGGAAGGTGCACCGGACAACCACAGTTTGAGAAACACAGTCCCACAGCTCTGCTCTCAGGCCTCCTGCCAGCACCCACCCCCCAACCCCAAAGACTGAAGCATCACCCTTAACCTGGGAACAAGGGCTGGAGAGAGGGCTGGAGCAGGTGACAAGGAGAAAGGGCGCTGCGGCCGCAGCTCGGCTACGGTGGGCACACAAAGGAGCCAGAGCAGTGCCCCTCACTCCACTTCTCCAGAGGGCATTCCTCCCGGGACGCCTCGGCCCCTGCTGCTCATGCCTCCTCGCCCCTGCCAATCCCGCCCCCCGCCCACCCCGTCCCTGCGGCCCGCCCCCTCCGCGCCGGGCCCCA